AGTGTTGACCCTGAAATGGTAATAGTTTCCTTTGTTCTTAAGACTTAAGAGAGGGGTAGCTCTGTAAAAAGCAACCTTTCCTTTGGTACTGGTTGCTGTAATTAAGGCATTTGAATCAACTCTGAAATAAAGAGCAGATTGCCTACTATATAGGCTCAATCTACTTATTAGCTACTAATGGGTAGTGGTCCAGCCAATGACAGTAACAATGTTACACTGTTCCCCACATTCACACTAGCTAACAAGTATCTTAAACCAAGTCCTGGACATCAGGTTCTTCCTTTCCCCCTTCTTCTCTGCTCCATAGTACAGAGCCTCAACCGGCAGCTGAGAAGGACAGGATGAGGTTGCATGTGGTCAGTGGCCGGCAGCCCCGGCAGAAGGGAAAATTCTGTTGCTACAGCCAGTAACTTCTGTGTCCTGTGCTTCCCCCCGAGCTCCCCAAGCCATACCCCAGAGCCCCTCAAACCACAGGCCTCTGCCGAGGCAGCACAGTCAGGAAGCTCAGACAGACCCTATGGCTGAGTCCAAGGGCAGAAATGAAACCCCTGGGGCTTGAGCAGGCAGAGCAAGGGCCCACCTGGGCCCCTCCTAGAAAGAGAACCATCTGCTATGTAGCCAGTGTGCTATATGCTTCCACCATCCCCCTCACCTCCTGGGGCCAGCGTCAAGACACCCCCTCCATTGACTCTGGTGGGAGTGAGGCTCATCTCCGTCCTGCCCTGGCCCAGCCCACCCCTAGGTCTCTGCTGTCTGAGGGGACTTTTTGGACAGGTGGTCTAGATGGCAAGGTGACCTCCTCAGTGATGAGAAGTGTGTGACTTCTTACACTGTCAATAATAATAGCCAACCCTTTACATAGCACTTGAATCTCACCACAATCCCGTGACACGGGTACTGCTGTTATTATTATTCAGATTCTAAGGTGAGGAAACCAAGGTCCAGAGAGGTTAAATAACTTCTCTGATGACAAACAGCTTGTCGATAATAAAGCCACGAGTTGAGTCCAGGCAGTGAGGTGTGACTGTGTGCTTTTAACCCCTGCTCCACACACCTTTAAGCAAAAGATAATTAAGTCTGTACCACGTCTCTAAGTCTGCACCGCCGAACAGAATTTACACAGTGTGTCTGACCAGTATGGAGTGTGTGGTTAAATTTGGAGGTGAAATTTCGTTCTCATAGAAGTGACCCTTGGGTGTGAAAATTAGAATTAACCGAATAAATTCAAGCCAGCAGAAATTCTTTATATAGGAGAGGTGGCCTTGGAGAACAACAGGACAGTTTCTTCCCCTTCATATGTCTCTCTGTGGCTACAGCGATTGGTGAATCGGTGCATTGCCACTTAAATATTTACTGAGCACCCATGGATTGGTGTTATAATGACTTGACCCCAGATTAATTTTCCTCCTCAAAATGTTCTTGTTAAAGAGTTTGACCACACAGTGGGCTCAGACAGCAGGGGATCTGCCCGGAGCCCCCAGTGTACAGAAGGCTAGAAAATAATTAAAAATCAGAATGTCCTCTAATTCAAAATCAAAAGGCATCCCCATATCTGCCCTTGTGAAAATTGTGCGAGTTGGCCAATTAATGAGACTGTTGCCTGGGGTGAAGTCTGCCCCTAGCCTGTGTAATTGCCAAGAAATGAGAGAGACCTCAGTGGGTCCTAGGGATGAGCAAAAGAAAATGATTTCCGGACGTAAGTGGAATCATTAAGAATGCAAGAGCGCTAATGCACCGCAGCCGCTTCCAGGGCGCAAGAGTTGCCTGGACCAAGGCAGGAACAGCCCAAATAGTGCTGAGTCTCCTGCTCTGTGGTAAGTAAGCAGGGAGGAGATGCAGAGTTCATCTCCCCTCCAGGTAGGGAAGGGAGAGGACTAACATTTACTGAATGCTCCTTATGTACCACCCTCTATGTTGAGCATTTTATATATATTGTCTGACTTAAAAAATGCCAGAATAGTCCATGGGTTTTTGTACCTGGACAGGGTGATGCGTACACAATCCAGTCTTGACATACAGAATGACACAGGCCTGACCCCCACTATCATTGGGGTTACCCTGCCACGTGCAGGTGACACAGACAAGATCATCTAAAAGCAAAATCACTATTAAAAATTTGACCGGTAAACTTATATTCTTTATTCCTAGGTAAGTGTTTTGTGTCCATTTACCAAAATGGGATTGTACTGCATGTGGTGTTTCATACCTGCTTTTTAAAACTCGCTTTTACATGCTTACTAAATACTCTTCTACAGGATAATTCTAGTAGTTACAGAGCTATGTAGATACTTTCTTAAACCCTTTTTATCGATCTCCGAGTGTAGGATATTTAAGTTGCTTTCAAGTTTCCACAATGTTAAACAATGTTCTAATGAACATTCTTGTAGATAAATCACTGCAAAATTATCTAAATTTTTTAAAGGTAAATTCCTAGCCTGGAAATTGCTGGGTAAAAGGATTCTGACATTTTTTAAGTCAAGTTTATTGAAGCATAATTCAGAGAGAACGGAATTCAGCCTTTTCAGGTGTACAGTGCTTTGAATTTTGACAAAGTTATGTAACCACCACCACAATTAAGTTATATAACATTTATAAGTATTTTAAAGCTTTTGATGCATGTTGTCAGTCGTCTGCTAGGAAAAGTATACCATCTACCATCTAGTCCCATCTACCATCAGGCTATGAAAGGTGAACATTAGAGATTATCCTTAAACATTTAAAAAAAAAAAAGATTTTCCAATTTGGTATGTGAATGTTTCCATCTCATGTTCAGTTACATTTATTTGATTACTAATGAGGTTGCATATTTTTTCATATGTTTGTTATCTGGTTTTATGTCTTATAGTATGATATACTATATCTTTGGCCTACATTTCTAGCCCACTGTTTATCTCTTTCTTATTGCTTTGTAAGAGCTATCGAGGGCTAGGGATGAAGAAGTGATCTGTCATGTTGCAAATATGTTTTCTGTTGTCATTTGCCTCTTTTAATATTGTTTATAGCTTTTTTTCTCAAAAATTGGAAGTTTCCGTAATCTCTCTATCTTTTCCTTATGGATTCCACCTTGGAAATCAGCTTCAGAAAGTCCTTCCTTTCTCATTCTATGATTATTTAAATATTTTCCCTTCTTCCATTTAAATGTTTAATTCTTTTGGAATTTATTTTGGTATATCACATGGGAGAAACTTTATTTTCCCCCCAAATTATGAGCCAGTTGTACCACCCCTGTTGATCAAATAATCTTTTCCCCCACTAATCTGAGTCACCTTTATTATATATTTAATATGTACTTAGATATGTCTCTGAACTTTCCATTGTGTTTCACAAAATTTCTTATCTTTTTTGGAGAAGAATAGGTACTATATCACACAGTTTTAAATATTGTAGTTTTATAATGTGCTTTAATATCTAGGATGGCAAGCACTGTTTTTCGTTACTATACTTTTTCAGAATGTTCTCTCAGGCCCTAATTATCCCAGATGAACTTAAAAACATATCTGGGTTTAAATATCCAATAGGAATTTTTATTCAATTTCATTATATTTATAGATTAATCTGAGAAAAATTTTTATCTTTATAATAGTTTTATCACTGAGGAACATGCCATGTCACTCAACATGTTCAAGTTTTCTTTTACTTACTTCAGTAAATGTTTACAGTTTTTAAAAAATGGGTTCTGCATGTTTTGTGTATCTCAGGAATTTATGTATCTCAGGTGTTTATCTCAGGAATCATGGGGGTTTTGTTACCGTTATTCACAGCATCCTTCTTTTTACTTTCTAACTGGTGGCTCCTACTTATAGCATTCTATTTATTAATTTTATAAAAAGCTAGTTTAATAAAAACTAGTTACAATAGTATTTTAATTTTCTTCCCCTTCAGTGCTCCTAGAAGACAATGGTTATTTGTAAATACTAATGATTTTACCTTCACTTTTCTGATCTTATACATTTCTTTTTCCCAGACTCATTATTCAGAATGATTGTGACTGGTAATTTCAGATCATTCTTCACATCATTTCATTTTTGTCACATGTTAAACTACGTGTTACTTTTATAAAAATCAAAAGTGTGTTTTTATCCAGTACCTTATGATGAACTACTCTTGCAAGTTTCTGATAAACCCTAGTTGCCTATGGAGTGTTATTCTCTTAACATTTTACTCAGTATTTTATTTGAAATATTTAAACCTGTAATCATTCATTTCAGTTTTCTTTAATATGCCATCTTCGCCAAATTATGATATTAAGGTTGGACTATTCTGATTTTGTAAAATTGGGAACCTTGCAACTTTTTCTTCATCTTGGAACAATTTAACTGGCATGAGCATGCCTGTTGCTTCAGAAGTGGGCTTAACTCACCTGTCACCTACTCCAAGGCTTTTAGAGAAGGCACCAGCCATAGCATTGTTGAAAGCCCTCTCTCACTCAGTATTCAGAATTTATTTTAAATTTCCAAAGGTCATTCAACAATTTTGAGAGTCAGACAATGAAAAACTAATTCATCTGTTTTCTTAGTATAGGACACTTTGGAAAATAAAGATGAAAACTACCTAAATCTCAAACACCACATTTCCATCCCTTCTTTGGATTCCGTTAGCTCTTGGCAAACATTATTTACGCTTACATAAAGTTATGTGATGCCTGGCTGGTGTTCAAAAACTGACTCATTCCTCTTCAGGGACTACAGAAATTTCCACCCTCATTTGCCTAGAAAAGAGATGGAAGTAAAAAGAGTAAGAAATAAGATGAAACTTACTGTATCAGTTAGTTTTCCTTGAGCACACCCTGGGTGTGTGCAACCAAACTACATTTCTTCAGAGATTATAAAAACAGTCTGTGTTCTCAAGTTTTTCATCTGAGGCAGGGGACCTGCCTTGCTTGTGATGATTTCCTCGCAGGGACAGGATAATGTCATGTAAATTGCAAAACAGCCTGCTGGTCTTCAGCCTACTTCGATGCCATAACAACAGTTAACAGCGTTTCCTTTCCCTTTATCCAGGATGTCTGCGTCAAGGCTTACCTAGCCCTTCGTCATCACACAAACCTACTCATCATCCTCTTCTCCATGATGCTGATGACAGGAATGCCCCAGTTAACCAGCAAAGAAGATATCGAATACATTCGGGACGCCCTGACAGTGGGGAAGAGCGAGGAGGATGCTAAAAAGTATTTTCTAGATCAGATTGAAGTTTGCAGAGACAAAGGATGGACTGTGCAGTTCAACTGGTTCCTACATCTTGTTCTTGGCATCAAACAAGGGGAGAAACATTCTGCCTAATACTTTGGGCTAGAATTTAAAAGCTTTAGATCTGTACGGCGGTCATCAAACTTGATTTAAAATGTCCTAGGACATTATGAAAGCTGCCACTTGAGAAATATAGCTCTTTCTCTAGCTGAACTCTTCACTGGAGAAAAATATTGGCACGTCTGATTGTTTAGGTGATGTTCAATTTCAGCCTTATTTGCAGGTTTGTTTTTTTCTCATTTGTCTCCATGATGTTGGAGAACATTCTAAGTTTAAACAGCCTAATTCCTCCCTCATTGTGGCTGATGTTTTGACTATCATACTATTGAGTACTTCTGGAAATTCTTTAGAGTAATTGGTAACATCTCTTTTCATCTGGGCTTCTTCTCAATTTGGGTTATCCTTGTGTTTCTCAAACACTTTTCAGAAGAAAAAAAATATGGTCATTGTAACCTTTGTCTCATTCCGTAAACGACACTTCCGAACAGCCCCTCCCTGGCTGCAAATGTTAGTGATGTGCTAAAAGTAAGCAAAGCGAGCTAGTCTTTTCAGGGTCTTTTGTAGTTAGGTTCTCTTACCACTGAGACTCACAAACACAAAATGGAACATCTGAACCTTTGTGCCCTGGCCCTTCTCCGCTGGTCTGGTTCCAGGGTTAAGAAGAGCAAAATTTGTCTCAACTCTGCCCACAGAGCAAACTCTCAAGTGCAATTATGATAGCCTTCTCAGCATAGGAACAGGAAATAACTAAAGGGACTCATTTGGGGCCTTTATATTTCCCCCCCACACTGCCTCTCTTCTTCTTCACTTTCCACATTCTCACAGCTCTTTATGCAGAGTTGTGAAACCTTCAAGAATACCTTTACCCTAGAACTCAAAATTAGTTGAAAAGAATTTCTCCTCTAGGGATACTAGAATTTTAGGTACTTATTTGTAAAGATGTTTGCTGGAGTTTTTAAAAAGTACATTATTAAAGGAGACATTCCTGAAATTATGGATGTTTCCAAATGCCTTCATTTCAAATTTTGGTCTCAGCAGTTTTTTCTTTCTTTTTTAATGGAAGAAGATATTTAATACCTAAAACAGTTCTCCAAGTTAGGAAGAACACTACTTGCCCTATGCATCTTGCAGTTTAAAGGACTTTTACACTCCAACACATTCTTCACATTTTCTAAAAATAATTCAAATGTCTTCTTTAAAAACTATTTTCATCTCTGAAATATCTTCTATTTATTGGAAGTGTTAACAGAGAAAGATCATTAAATTATTTATAAAATATCTTAAAATGACCTATAGTTAATACTTGACATAGAAATAACTCTGTTAATGGTGTCTATGTTTTAAGTTTAATGAGATATAAATATATATTTAATTTTTAAGTTTTCTAAATAGATACCTGTTGGACTTTGGTGTAGCCCAAACCTTTCCTTTTGAGTATGCAAAAGCCCAGTGGTTCTTAACTCTGGCTGCAAATCAGAATCACCAGGGTTACTTTAAAAATGTACTCTGCCTGAGCACCCACCTCGGCTTGTAATCAATTAGTTTGGGATGAGGCCCAGACATCAGTGTTTGCCTAAGTACTCCAGGTGATTCTAATATGCAAGCAGGGTTCAAAAGCCCTGCACGACCCTTGAAGGTGCAGGTGACACTGCTTCCTTTTCTACTGATCCTTTTCCCAGCTCCTAAGGTATCCAGAAAAAGCTCCTCTTCCTTGACAACTCATCCTTTTAAAATTACACTTATCACTCTGTACAGAGGACCATGCCTGTAATGAAATATTTATTCCTCTGTGTTAATGGAGAATAGACGTTTTGTAGCATTTTTAAACCAACTATTCCCCACCATTCTTTTTTTTTTTTTTTTTTTTTTTTTTTGCGGTACGCGGGCCTCTCACTGTTGTGGCCTCTCCCGTTGCGGAGCACAGGCTCCGGACGCGCAGGCTCAGCGGCCATGGCTCACGGGCCCAGCCGCTCTGCGACAGGTGGGGTCTTCCCGGACCGGGGCACGAACCCGTGTCTCCTGCATCGGCAGGCGGACTCCCAACCACTGTGCCACCAGGGAAGCCCCCCACCATTCTTTTGAAGAACAAAAAGAATGATGCTTTCTCATTCAGAAGAGGATGTTTCTTTGTTCTTATATAGCACAGTCAAGCTCAGACCTTGCACAAATTCCACTTTTTATTTGAATTGCTCAAGAAATCATCTTAATGATAGAAGAATGAAAGAGGATTGTATTTATATTTAACCTATTGGTGCATGTGTGTACAAATTTGCTCTTCCAAAGAACAAGTTCTTTTGTTACGCTGTTTTGTATATATATGTGTCACATTGGGGTTGATTCTTCCATATTCCAGTGAAGGTACAATTTTAACTCTGTAGACATACAAATAAACAAAAATCACCTTTGTGTGCTTCCTTCATCATCCCCAATGACCCACAACTTCTGTATCTTTGAAAATGTGCTAGAACCTGGGTCATCTTGCTATTGGGAGGAGATGTTGGGGAACTACGCCTACTCTATCTTCAGTGCCAGATGAAAACAGAGATCACAAGTCAGATGGTTCAGGTCAAAGCAGCTTATATGTGTATCCAGGATGGGTTACATAATTTGCAAACCCAGGGCAAAATGAAAACACAGGGGCCGTGGTTCACAAATCATTACAAAATTCAAGACAGCAACAGCAGAGCACTAAACCTTCTGAGCGTGCGTCACTACCCAGCTCGCAAGCCCATGGAGCTGACACTGGGCACGTGTGAACGATGGCTTTGGTGCTCAGCTTACATTTAGACCACGCCTGTGTGAGTGCAGGTTAACATTCCAGATCAAAATGTTGCTTCTGCTCTAATTGAAATACCGCATCTCTACGGCTGTACGTGAAGTCCTAAAACACAGGCCCATGGCTTTGGAACTGGAACTATGGCCACTAAAGGAAAGCAAAGGGGATACTGTAGCCCTAGTCCCACATGACTGCCTTTGACTGGCTTTGGTGATTCTTTGGTGAGAGTAGGGGAAGTGGAAACTGCAATAAAATATATCAACTCCTAGAGCAAACTCTTAATTTTAAAAAATTAACTTTGTTAAATATATTGTTTACAAGAGTCGAATTATTTTTTAAAGAAAGGTTAGATGTCGGAACTCTGCATAATTTGGAGGCTGTTAGCGCTATATAAATGGAAATTAGTTATTTTTGGAAATGAGTCTGAAATATAATTTAGAAAGTAAGTTTCTGCAGCAAATCCTGGCCTTTATGTGGTAAGTGAGGCTCTCTTTGACTTGTGAAATAAATTGTCAATTATATTTTACTATGTAAAGAAAAAAGAAATTTGGATTTTTAAAGTTTCTGTTGTATTATTTTCTGTTTAATCCAACCGAATAATTCCGGTCATGAAATCTGGTTCTAGTCTGGGTGCTTGTCTGCATTTGCCAAAAACTCATCTTCAGGACAGATGCTGGGGAACTAAAGCACACACCTTAGCTTAAGTGAGCCCAGAGAGCTAGCCACTCCCTCTTCCGGACAGTCTCATCCTCCCCACTTGCATTTATATTTTCATTGCAAATTGTTAAATGTAAATTTAAATAAAAGAAGGGATCTGATATTGTGTATTCTCTGCATACGTTTTTCAATGTCTGAAGGTTCAGATATTCCTAAAATTCAAATTTTCTTTCAAGGAATCTTTACCGAGTGCCCACTACTTACTAGACACTGTGTGATGTATTGGATATGACCAACGATATCCAATACTAGACCAACCCAGTCCCAGTCCTTAAAAAGTTTATAATTTGCTGGCGAGAGTAGACACTTCATGATGGGGGTTGCTGTGGGTTACATTGTGTCCCCCCAAAACACATGTTGAAGTCCTAACCCCTGGTATCTGTGAATGTGACCTTGTTTGGAAATAAGGTCTACAGATGTAATCAAATTAAGATGAGGTGGGCCTTATATATACCTGGACAAAACTGTAATTCAAAAAGATACATGAACTCCTATGTCCATATCAGCACTATTTACAATAGCCAAAACATGGAAACAACCTAAATGTCCATCGACAGATGAATGGATAAAAAAGATATGGTACATGTATACAGTGGAATACTACTCAGCCACAAAAAAGAATGAAATAAGGCCATTTGCAGCAACATGGCTGCAACTAGAGATTCTCATACTAAGCGAAGTAAGTCAGACAGAGAAAGACAAATACCATATTATATCACTTATATGTGGGACCTAAAACATGACACAAATGAACTTACCTATGAAAAAGACTCACAGACATAGAGAACAGACTTGTGGTTGCCAAGGGGGAGGGGGGCAGGGGAGGGGTGGACTGGAAATTTGGGATTAGCAGATGCAAACTATTATATATAGAATGGATAAACAACAAGGTCCTACTGTACAGCACAGGGAACTATATTCAGTATCCTGTGATAAACCATAATGGAAAAGAATATAAAGAAAAGAATGTAAAAATTTTTTAAATAAAAATAAAAAAGATAAGGTGGGGGCTTCCCTGGTGGCGCAGTGGTTGAGAGTCCGCCTGCCGGTGCAGGGGACACAGGTTCCTGCGCCAGTCTGGGAAGATTCCACCTGTCGCAGAGCGGCTGGGCCCGTGAGCCATGGCCGCTGAGCCTGAGCGTCCGGAGCCTGTGCTCCGCAACGGGAGAGGCCACAGCAGTGAGAGGCCCGCGTACTGCAAAGAAAATAAAAAAAAGATGAGGTGGGCCCTAATCCATTATGAGTGGTATACTTAACAGAAGGGAAGGAAGAATGCCTTGTGACGGAGGTAGAGATTATAATCATGTGTCTACAAGCCCCAGGATCTCCTGGGGCTACCAGAAGGTAGAATAGGAAAGGAAGCCTCCTCCCCTAGAAGCTTCCAAGGGAGCATGGCCCTGCCAATGCCTTGGTTTCAAACTTTCTAGCCTCCAGAACTGTGAGAGAATACATATCTATTGTTTTAAGCCACTCAGTTGGTGATTCTTTGTTACGGTATCCCTAGAAAACTAATACAGTGTCAATAATGAAAATCTTTGTGGGGGTTTTTTGGGGGTTAGGGGATCACACAGTTTAGGTAAGTAAAACTGTTTGATATTTTCTGCTGTTACCAACAAGATTGAATTGTGAGCAAAATACATAACAGAGTGCTAATCTTCTTAATATATTAAAAATTTATAATAATTCAGTAAGTAAAAGATAAATACCTCATTGGAAAATATTCAATTCACACACAGAAAATGCACGGTGGCCATTAAGCATATGACAGCAGACCCCAAATCACTGCTGATTAAACAAATGCAAATTAAAACCTAAGTTCCTCTTCCCCATTAGATAAGCAAATATTGGTAATGCCCAGAGTTCGTGATACTTTGAAAGAGCAGTCTATCACACTGTTGAAAGCAGAGTATGTTGGTAAATTCATGCCTGGTATTTTGTCAAAATTTAGAAAATGAAGAAGGTATCTATTCTCTGAGCCAGCAAGTCCACATCCAAGAATTTATCCTTCAGAAATTCTTGGACAAGTACGCAAAGACTTACGGATAAAAACAGTTGCCTTCACTCTTTGTAATAACCAAAAATTGGAAACAACTGAAAAGCCCCTCCTCAATAGCACACTGATTAAATCACATCCATATGCTGGACTGCAGTGAAGCCCCTGAAAAGACAGATCAAAATCTATTGACATCCAGGTACATCTATGACCTGCTGAGGAGTGAAACAAGGTGCTTACAGGACAGTGTTACATCAAAGTTACGTTCAAGCTAACATGTAGGTTTGCACATGCATTAAAGGCTGGGGGATATACTCACACCAAACGGTTAGTAGTGATTTTTTTTTACCTTGCATTCATTTTTTTTCTCTTGGATTTTGGGGAATTTGAGTTTCTATTAGTTGAATTTCTTAACAAGGGATAAAAAATTAAGTCTTTCAGTTTTGGGAAAAAATGCAGTCTGCATGATAATCTTACCCTTTAGCTTACATGGAGCCTCATTAAAAGCTCAGAAAATTTTGTTTCTCAGAGGGAAAATAATCACGTAAAGTCAATAATTATCAAGCACTGACATCAAAACTGCTGTTGGAACTTCTTGGCATCAAGACGACAACGGCGAAGCCTCCTGTCTTACAGGACCCTGCCTGATTGTGATCTGTTTACGCTAAGGCTGGCCCCATCCATCCCCTAAAGTGCCAGTGCTTTTGGAGGGGGGCCTCCAGGGCTGCTCTCTTCAATCATTAAGCGATGCCTTGCTCAGCTCAGTTCTTCTCAGCTCTTCAAACCTGTGCAGCCCGTGTGGCCATGCTGAGCTCTCTAGCTCATGGTTAAGGCTCCCCTTGGAGGTGCAAACTGCCTCATTTTCACTTCTCATGAATGTCAGATTTTCTTTTTCCTACACGTTCGCTTATTAGTGTGGCTTAAATCTCACTACCTGCTGCTTTGGTAAGAATTTTCTCTTCTGGGAGCTGGGCTCTGAGTCTGAGTTCACCATGCACGGGTTGATCTAACTTGGAGGATATAATGGGGATGGGGACCTACCAAGGAACATAAAATCCCTTTGCAGCACCTCAGAAGCACTCCTCTGTGTTTCACAGCAGATGGCCAGTCATCGGAGAAGTTTTATACTCAGAGAATGAAACTCAGAATTCTTTTGATTACACTGAAGAGGTAAAATAAGTCCCTACTGTCTGCAGAGATGCACCCACCATTACCTCCACCGTTTCCAGCCACGTGCAAGGTCTGTGGCTGAACAGCACCTCCCATCGCCAGATGTATAACACCAGCTGTTAGGGACCAGTCGGGCCTCCCACCCAGCAGCTTGCCTTTGCATCATCACCAAGCACCTGTGCTACAAAACAACCGGCCTGTGGCTACTGAGGGCTTCCACTGGGGAAATCCCATGTCCACAAACCACTGCCAAACCCCC